TATACATTGTTTGAATTATTCTTCTGGTACATGCTAAATACAACTAACTAATCCAGTGTACATCTCAGTCTGATCTTTATGACAAATGTTTCACATGAAATATTGATTTATTAATATAGTCCATCTTTGATCGCTGTACAGAGAATCCAGCTTGTGATTTGTTGAATTGATACTGAAAACATAACCAAATCCATGGAACTGCTTTGTAATATTCGGGTTATTGACAAGAAATGTCTTGTATTACAGTATACATAAATTATTTGACAAAGGTATCAAACAAAATTTTGTCGACATTACAACTTGACCCCTGGAATATCTTCACTTCAACCTCTGTATACCTGACATGTTTGTTCCTACCCCGCCCATATGTGCCTCACATGTCTGTTCGTGATTTGGTTGCTAACTCGCTTCCTGTTCCACCTGTATATGTAGGTCACACTCGCTATAAAACATTAACCAAATCTTTGTAAAAGATTATTTTTTTTTTTTTTATTGGTAGGTGCTTGTGACAGAATATGGCGATTTAGGGGGTGGCCGCTTTCTGGATCCCAAGACGAAACGCACATTTAAATATGATCATCTAAGGAAAGAAGCAAGTGATCCACAGCCAGCCAATGATCTTATAGATCATACGGCAAACACATGGAGGGAGGCGCTCGATAATCCTTTGAAACAATATTGTAGCAATCATTACAAAGATGGTGTCTTCACAGTAAGTTTATTCTGTGGGATTTAGCTGTCTTAATTGTTGAGTGCTTTTCCTTTCCTTTATAATGTTAGTGCCAATTTGCCCACATTCGTTAGTTCCCGCTTCATACAAAGTCCAAAATCAGGGACTATTAATTTTGGTTCCGTTCGTTCATCCGGAGCCATTTTCTAGACATGTTTTGACCAATCACATTCAAACTTAACAAACCATGACTTACACATGTACATCCTCCAAAATTTCCAAATTCTGATAATTAAACCTGTCCTGGACTGCTCCTCAGAGATGAACAGGGCAATTTCATTCAAACTTTGTATCATAATCATGCCTGTTAGGTGCCGACTAGCAGCAATTTTTGTTTTTATTCATGGCCATGCCAATTCCCCACAAACATACTGCCTGAAAGTTTGCACGCAAGTACTATACTCGTAGGTAATACTGTATGTTGTGCTATTTTGTGATATTATAAAAATTTTTCGAGTTGACGACCATTTTGTCTTAAAGCCTAAAATCGCAGTCTGTGTGTCTGGAATCATTTCTCACAGAAAGACAGGGCTTTGTATCAGGATCATACATACTGTACTAGGTTACAGATGCACGTTGTTTCAACAACTGTTTTTCTGAGGTGGCATGCATGATTTGGTTCAAACTCAGTACAATGATTCTACATACTTGGTTGCTTATTACATTTTTTAGTGATTCAACCAAATATGCTCAGCCCATTACAGTACATTGCCAGCAACGACCGATCATTCCCATCACAGCACTATTTAGCCAACTGTACACCCACACTGGATCACTGATAGTGATGAAATTTGGCATTAAATATAAAGCAGGGACTCCACATTGTCAATATTAATTCCTAATTTCAGTGTCAATCTGGAAACAAGTATTTCTGCATCAACAAATTTTTTTTTTAAACTTTATTATATCCCGTTTATTGCTTGGTGTTCGGTCTTTAGTTGCAGAAAGTTGTTTTTCATACTGAGACTTAAGGAAATCTGTGCCAATAATTCTCAAGATTTTGCCCCACACACAAATCATTGGTGGCAATTGCAAAAAAACAGCACCAGCTTCGCTGTTATTGAAGGTCTGTGTTGGATATGAAAGTTTTGGCCAAGTCCTCAACCAGAACCGTATTATATAAACTACTTTCCCATTGATGTTCTGTATTTTGTTTTATGAGTGTAGTGTGCATTACTTGACAACTGTAAAACACTTTATTTTAGCTTGAATTATTTTTGGTGTTTTGTGTGGAATTTATTTCACTGGTTTGTGACGAGTTGAATGTAAAATATAGGAAAAAGGTTTATTGCTGGATTTTATTTTTCGCTGAATAATTTTCAAGCCAGAATAAAATATTTCACAGTATCACAGCAGTGGTGCTCTGCTAAGTTGTGAAAAAAGCAAAGCATTCATTCATTCAATCAATCAATACAATAATATTATATAATCCCACTGGTTAACAGTGGGTAAGGGATGCTTTTCAATACTGGGTAGTTAAATTAATGTGAATTGCAAATACTGACGCTACTACTGTTATTATTTATTTTCTTCACAACAGATATATGGTAAATCGTCAGGGGGGAATATAACATTAATAGCTTGCATCGAGGACCATCAATTCCAGCCAAAAAATTTCTGGTAAGTTTGTGTTATGTAAATATGATTGGTTTGAAGTGGCTCTCACTTACAGTTGTCATATCGATGTAAACGGCCATTTCCTTTGACAGACAGTGATCAGTATGCATTATTTTCTCATCAGACAACGTGTATATTGCCCATTATTATTGTAGGTTTGGTATGATTTCGCTAAATAAATGATAGTTGATATTCAGGTGCTTACCTTTAATAATAGACTTCTGAAAGCACTAAAGCGGGTTATTGAGTGATTTCAATGTGTTTAAAAATTAATTGATGGCACCTTTTTTTTTTAGTTCCCCATGGCAAAATTTTGTGCGACAAATCCTTTGCGAGTGATCGCTTGTCCGGAGCATATTAATTTGGAGATTCATTTTAACTGTAAAATATTTTATTTTAGCTGAAATTAATTTTTGCTGAAAAGACATTTTGAATGTTTTGTATGGAATTTATTTTCACTGATTTTTGGCAAAGTTGAATGTAAAATATACGATAAAAGGTATATTTGCTGTATTTTATTTGCACTGAATCATACCTTCAGCGAAAATGAATTCCAAATAAAAATAATAAAGTATTTTACAGTAGTTGAATATGCTAAATTAAAACCTAGTTAATACTGTGGAATACTTTATTTTCGCTGAAAATAATTTTCGCTGAAAAGGCTTTTTGAGGGTTGTGTATGGAATTTATTTTCACTGATTTTTTTATGAGTTTAATGTGAAATATAGGTAAAAAAGTATATTCGCTGGATTTTATTTTCACGGAATCATCCCTTCAGCGAAAATAAATTCCAAGTGAAAATAAAGAATTCTACAGTATGCATTGTTAACCATAGAATGAGTTGTTTTGTTAAAAAACCTATTGATATATATATAATCTGCTAAAATTACTCTCAGTGAATGTATTAATCTATTCTTCTGTGTGTTGGTACCAATACTGGATAGTCATGTGCATTTGATGTATTTGAGTAAACATAGTAGTCTAAACACCAAATCACTAACTGAATATTAACATTGATCTTCAGGAATGGTCGCTGGCGTTCACAGTGGTCTGTAACGTTTAGTCCATCTTCAAATTCAGCCGATATCAATGGATTACTAAAAGTTCAAGTTCATTACTATGAAGACGGCAATGTACAACTTGTTAGTCATAAAGAAATCAAAGAGAAAATTAACTTCACTGTAAGTAATCGTTCTGTGTATCCTCCGGGGCGGAGCTACGTCACAAGACGTTCCACGTTGCTAAGACGTGCACCACTGTACCATGCATTTCTATGGGCTCTGTGCGCGCTGCTGTGGAACACTGGTCGAGCCGGTGAAAATTCGAGAAAACAACACAAACTCAACTTTGAAGTAATCCCGAACAATCAAATTTATATATGTTACACACGTAGGGCTAATCTTGTTGCACTGTTCAGAGGAGTCTCAACAATCACCCCAAAGTACCGTTTTCTGCGAGTTTTAGGCCTTTGTTTTCACCGCCGCGGGTTGCCAGGCGGTGAAAATGCCTGGATGTCCGCCCCCGAGGATTAGCTCTATTAGAAGTGCATTCCTAATACAAGCACACATAAACCAAATATTGTATACTGGGTTGTTAAAATGTGGCTTATTTTAACCAGAATGCAACAACCGTAAAATCTTTATTAGAAGTCCCATCCTAATAGAAGTCGCACACATTCTTTTGAGAATTTGGAATCAAGAAATCACTATAGCAGTATCTCGTTTAGATGCTATAATAGAAACTGCATCCCCTCTATTGTGTTGTACCATTTTAATAGAAGCTGTAGTTACTAATACAGATTTGACAGTAATAGAGAAAATCAATAATATCTATATTCTAGATCCACAGTTTGATCCTGGCTGCCAAGTGATATAATTACCAAATTTACTTTTGGTAAATCCTTCAGACTCTGCACGTATTATGTTTTCATCTTTTGTAAATAAGTTACACTTCATCAATTGATTACAGTATAATCAGTTTTAGGATGAACGAGACAACAGTTTTCATGCTTTTCATTACTTTTTTTTTCTTGTTTCTACTCTGCGCAGTAGATAAAATGTTTATTATTATTAATAACAATTTATGGTTATGAAAAGTTAAATATTTTCGGCCATTCATCTCAAAACTTGGTTAAATCGTCACTTTAAAATGTTTCTCTATTTTCAAACACACAGGATAAAGACACTCTCGCTAAGAATTTTGCTAAGATTGTTGAGGATTCTGAGGCTCAATACCAGGCTGCGTTATCAGACAACTACAATACTATGTCAGGCACCACCTTCAAAGCCTTAAGAAGACAGCTTCCTGTCACACGTGCCAAAATAGATTGGCAAAAGATCGTTAGCTACAAGATTGGGCAAGCATTGAAGGCTCCATAACTAAATAAGTAAATAAATAAATAAAATAAAAGCCAAATGTTTGATCAAGATTGTATAGAACCTTATACAGATAATAACTTTAATGTTCATCTATTGTATTGTATTTTCTTCTTTATTTTCCGTGTTTTCTGAGTTTACAATACATGTCAAGTTAATTGCACTATATTTGTAAATTTTTCAGTTTTTGTTTAGCCATTGAATCACAGCAAATCACAGTCAAAGATGGTTGTTCTTTGATGCAGGACAATAGGTCATTGTTCTTTTCTTGTGGTTGAAAAATCCACACTTCCAGGCTTGCAACTATACAAAGTTTCAGCAATATATATTTTTTAGTAGTAAAAGATTCATCGAGAAAACACATGTAGATCCGGGGGCTGCTGGTTTGTTTCATGATCAGCAGGCACACACAAATTTAATAATGTTGAAGGCCCTTTAAAAAGGGAAGGGAATTTATTACTGGGTTAGCAAGTGAAATTTACCGTGGTTTATTGAATTGTTTTAAATGGATTCTGCTATTCATAAAAATATACCTACACACACACACACCAATATCAAGCTGTGAATTGTCTGCTTTGGGGTTGAAAAGACTTTTCGGGAAAAGACTGCCAAGTTTGATTACTGGTTGTTATTTAAAATCAAAAGTATGTCTGTTTTCATTCTTGCCTTGCTGCTTATGGCTTTATATAGCAATATATAACATGGTGAAAGCATTATTGTAAGAACATTTTTTGTGTCTCCATAGCACTGCTTAGAATTGAAAAAAAAAAAATGTTGTTTTGTATATTGGAAATCAATGGAATCCTTAGATGCTATAAATTTTCTGGGCAAACATTTTTTGTTCAATGCCTTCTTGTATTTTATTTTTTATTTGTCACCTAATTTATATAGTTTTCCTGTTGGCTACAGCTGGTTAATAAGAATTCTATCTTATTTAGTAACCATGGCTACAATGTCTTAATTAAAATTTGCTTTATTTTATGAAAGGTTACAACAAATGACTATAAACAAAACTTTCTATCAATTTTCAAAAAAATGCTAGCTAAAATATCTTTATGCTAATTAGCACAGGAGTCGTAAAGTTTCTGATGCTTTGATTGGCTGCTGTCCTAAACATGCATATTCATACTTTTAACATTATAGTTGCATTTCCACTTTGTATTATACACTTATTACCATGCCTGATTCTCGATTTCAACAAATTAAGTTAAAATATTCATAGAATATCTCCCAGCAGGAGACTTTTATTATTTTTCCCTCTGTATGAAATTTTTTTTTCAAATCCCTCGCCTTCAAATGTAGAGTTTGTTATAAACGCATACAGTTTTTATACATTGCATGCCCATGGGTTGTCGAAAAGCATGTTTCTATATTGAGTGTTTGTCATGTGATCAGGACCAACTAATGCATTACGGATTTGTCTTTTGTTTTTCATTGAAGTCTAAATCATAACACTTTACTGTAAAATACTTTATTTTCGCTGACTGGGTGATTCAGTGAAAAAAAAAATTGAGCACATATACATTTTTCCTACATTTTACATTCAACTCATCAAAAATCTATGAAAACAAACTCCATGCAAAATGCCTGAAAGTGTCATCAGTGCAAATTAATAACAGCTAAAATAAAATCTTTTACAGTATGTGCTCCATATTTAATCTGGAAAATGACCTAGGCCTATAACAATGTTTTCACATAAATGGCTGGGGAAAGGGACAGTGATTGGGGTTTATTCATTCCAGTTCTGTATCTGAATGATGTATTTTTGCCCCTCTCTTTAATAAATTGAATCTTTAACCAATTAATATGGCAATTGTCGCTTTGTTATCAATGTTGTAAACTATGGCAGGCTCCTGTGTCCAAGATCTAGACTTTACAGTATAGCTGACAAGTTTATGAGCATACTGGCCCTGCAAGCCTGCACCCAGTTTTTGACTCCAGTGTGCGAAGCACACAATGGGAGTCTTTGCAGTTACCCTGTCTGTATGTGTGTGTATCTGTCCGTTCCACTGATATCTGAAGAACCGTATGTTGGTTTTTAATGAAACTTGGTGTATAGATGCTCTGGGCTAATGCGCAGATTTGATTAGGTTTTGGTTGAAATCCATGCATATTAATTACCTAATTTGCATGATAATTAGCTAATTTTTAGCTGTTCCTTGACTGTTCCACTGATATCTAAAGAGCCATGCTCTGTTTTGGGTAAAAATTCATGCATATAA